TGGGGACCGTTGAATTAAGAGTTTTGGAATGAGTAATGACCTCAGAGAAACAGGACTTCTCACCCATGGGCTAGGTAATGCAGAGGGTTAATGAAGAAATTGTTTCACACAGAAGCAAGATGAAAATATATTTTTGATAAATTATATTCTATGTTAATATTAATAAAAAGTTGCAGAATCAACTTAAATAATATACTGGCTCTATATTTGTCTAGATTTAGCTATTTATGAGCAATCATTACAAAGGAGTACCACAATTAAACAATCTTCCGTAAAACATTAGAATAGAATCTAACAAATGCAACCTCTCTGAGGAGATGGGTGATTCAGAAGTGTGAAATATAAAATAAATAATAAATAAACCTTTTTTGTAATTACTTGTAGAATAGCTACAGTATAATTAGCAGAATTGTTTTTCTTTGTTAAAATCTTGATCTTGTTTCAAATACTTCAATTTCTTTGTTACAAAGTTACATATATGCAAAGAATTGTTTCTTTATTACTAATCTATAATGATAAAAACAACTTTATTTTATATATTATATATTAGAAAAATACAACGTAGCATTGGATAAGTCTGAAAAATGAAGATTTTCAGTTAAAACAATTATAAAGAACATATGCTGTATATGTTTGTACAAACTGAATTGCACTATACATGTAATCAATTTGGGCTTTACCATTTGACTCCCATTTTAAGAAACAAAATGCATATTTTAACATTTTTTTTAGAGATTTGGAAAAAAGGGAAACATTTTGTCTATTCCAGACAAAACAGTGGAAACATTGATTGTATGCATTTACAGCAGAAGTTTAATCAAATTCAAGCCAGAATGGTTCCAATATATGCAATATATTATGCAGCAAGGCAAGCTAAATCACTTGAAATATGGTTTTGGGGGAAAAGGGAAATTGTTGAAAGAATAATTAAAACAATCCAAGCAGAAATTAGCAACCGCTGGTGTCTAAAGAATAGCAGAAAGATATTTAAGTAATGATTTAAGTAATATGTGAATGTATTCCTTTCCTTTTCTTTATTTTTGCAGCAGATTTTTGTCTTTCTATCTTTCCCTGAGGGACGAGTAGCTGGAATTTTATCTTTCTGGCTGCAGTTCTCTCCTGCCAAAATTCTGACAACAATTCTGGGATCTTAACAATAGCCTTTGAATAGGGGAGAGGGAAGACAGGGGGAGAAGGACAGAGAAAAGCAAGGGAAAGAAGCTGAAAGATGAAGGGGGAAATGACTCAAAGGAATGAAACAGCTCTGAAATCCAAGAGTTTGCCAACTGGCTTTCTTCCAGGACATCTGGAGATCTTGTCAGTCCTTCTTACAAATTCAAGCCATGGTATCTCTGTGTTTGTGGAAACCTTTCTAGCAGGAAAGTCCTTCTAATCTGTGAAGGGACATTTGGGAGCTGCCCTGAGGGAAAATAAACTCCTTCCTGAAGCAGGGAAGGGATGTCCTTTGCCAGTTTTTGACAAGAGTTACCCCAAACTTGCTGCTCTTGAAGAGTGTCTGTGCCCAGTCTGAACCTTCTTTCCCCTTAACTATGCACCATGAGCAATACCAGGTAATTCCTGCCACCTTCCTTTCCTCCCTTCTGGTCGCCCAGAAATATCCTGATTACACTCACTCTCACAGAAAACTATGAGTCCCTGTTTTATAAGCTTAAAAATTTGATAGGAAATCTGTATCTGGTGAATACACCTTTCCAAAGACGTTAGGATGAAATTCTAGTCTGCTTTATGTTGAGACATATACAATACAATGAGGTCTTCTCAATGTTGATCTTACCTATCAAGAACCTCAGCAATATTTGAAACCTGGAGCAAAACCAAAGGAACATGCAAAGTAATATGCAAAACCCATATATCAAGCGTATTAGGCTCTTCTGGAAGTCTTTGTACAACTTGAGAAGTGGATTTGGCAATTGACTTCAATGAGTCATCTTGAAATTTGTTATGGCACACAATGTCTTTCAAACCCATGTCAGTAAGTCATAAAGAACTGACATTAAAAATTATTCATACATACATTTCACTTTTTAAAATGTCCCTTACATTTAATCGAACTTTTCTAGATTCTCTTAGAGACTTTTATTCAAAGTGATGTCTATTGTCAACTGAGCGGCAGTGTTCATGTAGTTAATTCATTGATTTATTGAGAAAATAAGAAAAAAAACTATCCACCTTTGGTACATAGTTCTAGTGTGGCTTTGTCTGTTTTTTCCAGAGATAGTTGTAATTATTTATGTGCATGCATAGATAATATGGGCAGAATTAAGCAAGTTGAAACCCTATCAATTTTGGCAATAGAAGCAAACATGGTGTCAGCCACGCATCAGCTCAAACCTTTAAATAAGAACAACCCTTGACTCCATTTGGTGGGAAAAGCACAGTTTACTAAAGGTCAAGCAGAATACAGGAAAGGAAAGCCAGAACTGAAGTTCGTGTGCCAAAACTCGGAGTAAAAACTTTACCCCACTTAGGTACTCCCCATTGCTGGTCCCTTAGTGTCCAATCGTGTTTCGAATAAGATGTTCTGGAAACAGCCACTCTGATTGTAGGCTGCCTTGATGCTGCATTTTTCTCATTGTGGCACGACCTTGGGGCGCCGTCTTGGCCAGACACTCTCACTCTCTTAGCTTTCACTTCCCCCCCCCAGGCACTCCCCCTCCCCCCAGGGTTCATGGCAGACTGGATCCGAAGCGATTGCAGAAAGCAGACGTGAGGTGGCAGTTCTGACACACGGATAAATAAATAAAACTGAAATGTGCTCAATTCTAGTTGGATTTATTAATGTTTCTTTCTATTAAATAAAGCATTCCGTTTTGCCAGGGATATAGCTTTCTGAAGTTTGTACTCTTTCAGTAATTCAGACAAATATTCTTGCATTATTTTCTCACCCATTAATATTTAGGTGACATTAATGAAGAGCACCACTTTATCTGCAGCCTTTTTGAATTTATCCCATAAATGCAAAAGAAAGAAAGTTGTTTGTCAGTCCTGCCCCAACTTGGTCCCTTCAGCATAGAATGACTCTCGACTCCATTTGGTGTGAAAGATTTACTTTACTAAAGGCCAAGTGGATTACAGTGTAGCAAAGCCAGAACTGAGGTTCGCGCGCCAAACTTTCCCGGTTAACTTTTCCCCCTTTGTCCCTTCCCATTGTTGATCCCTCATTGTCCAATCAAATTCAAAGAAAATGTTTCGGGAATGGTCTCTTCAACTGTAGACTGGGCAGTGTGGGGGTGCACGCCTTTCCCAGCTGTCTGACCTTGAAGTTGTATGTCTAGGTACAATGAGTCATCAGCCCCACTTCCCATCCAGCTCTTTCCCCCCATAGTTTATGGCAGACTGGCAGCTAGCAAGTGCAAAGTGCAGGCGTGAGATGGCAGTTCTGACAGATGTCTTTTTATTTGCTTTCCCCTTCTCATTTTTCACTACTTGGGGGGGGGAATAGATTTCTCCTTCAGATGATGAACTTTTCCCTTGATTCACTTATACCAGTGATGGCAAACCTTTTAGAGACCGAGTGCCCAAACTGCAACCCAAAACCCACTTATGCATCGTTGGGTGCCGGGTGGGTGTGGCCCATGGGGTGGGCATGGCTGCAGTGGTAACGGCAGACTGGGTGGGACTAAAAAGTTCAATCCCGGGAGAAGTTGAAATTGATTGATTGATTGAATCTTTTTTTTTGTGCACATGGTGGCGGGGGCCTAAAGCGAAAAGGTTTTATAAAACCCAGCTGAAGGCCTAGGACTGGGGTGACGGTGCATGTGCCCACAGAGAGGGCTCTGAGTGCCGCCTCTGGCACCCGTGCCATAGGTTCGCCACCACTGACTTATACTGTACCTTATATTATACATTTCTAATCCATGCTTAGATTAGATCGCAACATTAAAGTCTGATGTAAAGATAATTTTCCTTTTCAGTGTGTACCATTTTCTTAGAAAATAATTCAGCAGAAGTTTTTTGTTGAATTACTAGCAGTTCCTGCATTTCAAGTGAAATAGCAGCCCATTATTACTAAAAATAATTTTAAGTGAATGGGATTGTAAAAGCCTAAAATTACATTTAATGTCTTAAATATAAATGCCCGGGACAGTTTTAGGCTGGATGCTTTTACTTTGCTCTGGATGGACAGGAGAAGCGAGATATAAACACTATGCCTCATGGATGATGTGATAGGCATTAGCTCCTTGGTTGCTGAATACAGTTTAAGATCTTTAAGTCAGAGTCTACAATTACCTAGTTGCACGACTAAATACAGATAGTCCTTATGACCACAATTGAGCACAAAAATTCTATCGTTAAATGAGACATTTATTAAGTGAGTTTTGTCCCATTTTACAACCTTTCTTGCCTCAATTGTTAAGTGAATCACTGCAGTTACTAAGTTAGTAACTCAGTTGTTAAGTGAATCATTGACTTTGCTTGTCAGAAGGTTGCAAAAGCGGTTCACATAACCTTGGGACTCTGCAACGGTCATAAATATGAACCAGTTACTAAGCATCTGAATTTTGATCACATAATCATGGGCAGGGGTAGGCAACCTTGGCTCTTTTATGACTCGTGGACTTCAACTCCCAGAATTCCTGAGCCAGCATGGGTCCACGAGTCATAAAAGAGCCAAGGTTGCCTACCCCTGATCATGGGGATGCTGCAAAAGTCGTAACTGTGAAAAATGACCACAAGTCACTTTTTTCAGTGCTGTTGTAACTTTGAACAGTCACTAAATGACTTGTTGTAAGTCAAGGACTACCTGCAGTTATTCATTGTTACACTCTGAAACTGATTTTCATTTCATTCAATGGGTGTGTCCAAAAAGTAAAAAAAAAATGTATGGATTCAATTGCCAGGATCTGCCCAAGTATTGTGGCACTCTGCAAAATTCCACCTGGATTAAACGTCGCAAACAGCCTAGCAGCAAGTAATATAAAAAATAACCACAGCCACTGGTTGGAATTTTCCTCTAACCTCTTTTCTTTCTCTCACAGGAACTTTTTACACCAGAATGTAAGTTTAAGGAGTCTGTGTTTGAAAATTATTACGTAATCTACTCGTCGATGCTGTACAGACAGCAAGAGTCGGGTAGAGCCTGGTTTTTGGGACTCAACAAAGAAGGACAAGTCATGAAAGGCAACAGAGTGAAGAAAACAAAACCAGCAGCTCATTTTCTACCGAAGCCATTGGAAGGTAAGCCGACTTTGACCCAGCATTGCGTGCATCAAAACATTGCAAAAACCTGTCGCCCTTCAAGTTGACTTTCAAATGACATCGACTCTGATATGCTTGCATGTGTTTCCTAACTGTCCATTTGATATTTCCCTACTTCGTGTTTTGTGTCTGATTTTCTTTTTCCTACCTGAAAAGAATATGGATGAAAAGCTCTTTGGTGGCAATCTTTGAACTGGGCAAAGAATATGGAAAGCTTTTCTGAAAGCAAATTCCAGCACCACCAAGTCAGAACATGAGAAAGACTCTCCCGTTCTTGCTAAAAACTCAGCAAGTAACACTAGATAAGCCATCTTCTTTTCTTCTCAGTCCTTTTAAGCACTATGGGGTGAGAAAAGTATTGATCGCTCTTGTTTAGCTGTTGCAAGGATTTCTGAGATAACGTATATGAATGATTTTGCTAGAAGGTTCAAAATACTATAGTTCTGTTATTCCAAAGAAAAAGTCAGTCCAAGGTGAAATGAAAAAAATATCACCTGGGGAAATACGGGCTCACAATATGTTCTTCTTTATTTCTAATAATAGTAGTAATAAATGCCTTGGGTGCAATCCCAAAACATCTGGAGCACCACTTGAACACCAGCAGCATTGACAAAATCACCGTGAGCCAATTGGAAAAGGCCTCCTTGTTTGAAACAGCTTGCATCCTGCAATGATAGCTTTATCATTATCAAACAACAACATCTCCCTATTCCAGCTCTTTGGGAAGGATTTATTTGGCGTAAAAATGCCAAAACCAGTCTAAACATCTGGCTGCCTGTGACCAACCATAATAATAAGTCTCAATGCATATGAAGGCCAGAACCAGCTAAAAAAGTAGCAACTGTGATTTCACATTGTTGTGTGTATTATTATAACAATAAAGAAAATACAGATAGTAACAATAGTAATTGATATCTTGAATACAATCCAAAGCAATAAGAGTCCCATTTGAATACTATTGACAAAAACACCATCAGTCAATTGCAAAAAGCAACTTTACATGGAACAGTTTATATCCTGGACTAGATAAGTAGATAAAAATGTCAAATCCAGTTTAAATATTTGGCTGAGTGTGTGATCAACCATAATATTAAACGTGTCTGTGACATTTAGCACTTCATAGTAAACCATAATTTTGTTTCTTTGGTATAGTATAAGCCCATTTCATTTGAAAAAAAAATGGTTTTTCTAACAATTAACCACAAGTTGAAAAACTGATTTACTGCTGGCTTACCAATCCTGGCTTATTCCTGATTTGTTTTTGCATTTTGCCCATTTTTCCTAGCAATTAAATCTCATTTAATCTACAAGAGAAAAAAAATCCTCATCTGATACCATGGTCACATGATACCTCCAGGAAGCAATTATAGGAAAGAATCATATAAGATATTGCAGTAAACACATTTTTTTGCTTTTTACGACCCTTTAATCCCTTTTTATTTGGGATGGAGTCGCGGTGACTGAATGGAACTGAGCATTTACAGGCTGGATACCCTTCCTGATGCCTACGTGGAGTTTGCAGCAGATACTTTCTCTTTGCACCCTGATAGAGAAACATCTGCTGCTGCGTTGGATTGAACTCTCAACTTTCCAAGTCAGATGCAAGCATCTTCACCTCTAGGCCACTGCGCTGCTCCAGTAACACATATATCTTAATTATTTTTTTAAAAAAATGGATTGGTTTTCTAAACCAATTTTGTATTAAAAAGATACAAAATAAGTCAAAATTCCAATAGGAAATTTTGTATAGACAGAGCAAATAAGACATATACTGTATACGCCAACATCTTACATCTTTTGTATGTTGGTATTTCCATTTCAACATTTTTCTATGGGTTTTCATAACAGTAATAAAGCCTCTCCATTTTTCTAATATGCTGTAGCTATTCCTTCTGTAACTATCATGAATTGAAAAGTTATCTTATTTTTAATACATTTGGTCACCTCACTAAATAACGGCAGGAAATACATATTGAGACAGGAATTGAATTTTCCTGTATACATACTGTTCTTCTTCTTTACTTCCTCTTTTATCACTTTGGGTTACAAGAGAGATACAAAGTTCTGGTTCTTGCTCTTCTGGTGGCCTCAACCATTGTTAATTGATGTTGTTGTAGTATGTCTTTGATGTTGTGTCTCCATCTTCTTCTGGGTCTGCCTTTTCCTCTTCCTGTATATGTCTTGTATGGCATGAAATCCCATGACATCCTCTTCAGGTGAGCAAACCACTTTATTGGTTGTTTTTGTAGGCAATTTAAGATTGGTCCTAGGCCAATTCGTTCTCTTATAGTCTCATTTCTGATTTTATCTCTTCCGGTCACTCCAGCAGCTTTCCTCAAACATCTCATTTCTACGGTGACTAATTTCCACTTATGTTTTGTTATGTGTCCATTTTTGGCACTGGTAACATAGGTTGGGGACAAATATGCTTTCTATGAGATGTTTCTTTGTGCTGATCAGTACTGCCTTATAGGAGTGGAGCAAACTGTCCCAAATTTGGTTTGCCTTATTACATTGTTAATATCTTCATCCCACTGACAATCCACCACCAATTGTTAAATATTATCTTGTATTTTCATTTCATTTTTGAATGCTTCTCATTTGTAATGCTGGTCTGTAACTGTAATAGGTTTTTTAAAAAAGTGTAGAGAGGTCAAATATCACTAATGAGTCATGTAATTTTTCCTTGATCTTTGATGATATAGAACATAACCTAGGATTCTTCCAAAGTATAGTCCATTGTATATCTGAGATATTATACATCTAGTCCTCATTTAAGCTACTGCTCTGTCCAGTGACCTTTCGTAATTGTAATTTTAATGAAAGAGTAACTTGATAACCAATCCTTGCATTTATGACCTTTGCAAGCCTGTAAAAGCAAAAGAAAGTAAAATAATAAGTCCAATGGAATGGAGTGGAATGGAATCAGTTTTCTGATTATCTTTTCCAGAATCTTCCCAGTTATTGAGGTCAGGCTGATAGGTCTGTAATTTCCTGGATCTATTTCCCCCCCCCTTTTTTTTTTGAAGATGGTAACTACATCAGCTCTTTTCCAGTCCTCTGGTAGTTCCCCGGTGCTCCAGGATCTTTGAAAGATATAGTTCAGTGGTTCTGAGATCACGTCTGCCAGTTCCTTCAGAACCTTGAGGTGTAATCCCTCTGGTCCTGGTGATTTGAAGTTGTCTAGGGTGGACAGGTGCTCACTTATCATTTTCTTGCCTGTTTTAACTTGTATTCCTAATTTGCTTTTTACGATACTGTTTTTAATAGGTTGGACTGTTTTTTCCTTTTTGTGTAAGGATACAAAAAATGAGTTAAATAGTTCTGTTTTCTCCCTGTTGCTTGTCACCTTCTTGCCACTTTCTCCCATTAATGGACCAATCATTTATTTGACTTTTTTCTTGTTTTTTTTACATGTTGAAAGAAGCTTTTTTTAATTTTTGACTTTTGTCACAAGTCTTAATTCATTTTGAGCCTTAGCTTTCCTCAGTTCATCTTTGCAGGCTTGGGCTATTTGCTGATATTCTGTGTTATGTGCCCCTCTTTCCACTTTTTATACTTGTCCTTTTTGTCTTTCAGTTTATCAGAAAGTTCTTTATGTAGCCATGCTGGTTTCTTTTGAGAACTGTTATTTTTCTTCTTCATTGGTATTGTGTTAAACTGGGTTTTTATAATCTCACTTTTCAAAGTTTCCCAAGCTTCTTGGGTTGTTTTCCCCTTGAGGATTCTCATCCATGGAATCCTTCTCAAGCTCTCTCTAAATTTATTGAAATTAGCTCTCTTAAAGTCCAAGACTGTAGATTGACTTTGTTCTATTGCTTGTGCTTGCATAATGTTGAATTCCAATATTGCATGATCACTCCCCCACAAGGTTCCTATAGTTTCAACACCTTCTGTCATTTCATCTGTGTTAGTGAGAATTAAGTCCAATATGGCTGATACTTTAGTTCCCTTCTTTCCTTTTTGGAAGACAAAGTTGTCTGCTAGGTTTGTCAGGAACCTGTTTGATCTTCCACTTGGTGCACAGTTAGTCTCCCAGTTGATGTCAAGGTAGTTAAAGTCCCCCATTACTATTGTGATGTGCTTCCTACATACCTTAGTTAACTGACTAGCAAAAAGTTCATCTATTTCCTGTTTGGTTAGGTGGCCTATGCCATACACCTATGGCAATGTCATTTTTTATCCTTTTATATTGACCCAAATGCATTCAAGACAGTTTTCATCATTGTTGTGCTCTATTTCTGTAGAGATGTTATTTCTTATATATAGTGCAACACCACCTTCTCTTTTATTTGGTCTGTTCTTTTAAATAATTTAAATCCCTCTAGCTGTATATTTCATTTCTGGGTTTCATCCCACCAAGTTTCAGTAATGGCAACAATATTGTATTTGAAAATTCATATTTTCTCTAATAAAAACAGTTTTGTGCCATAATATATCTTAGTCACAATGTTGTTTTTGCTGCAACCGAATAATACACCTGCCTTCCTAGACTTTTCCACAAACAGTAAAATAGATTTTGAAAACGGGCAGACAGACATTCTAATTTAAATGTCTTTAATTTTAATCAGTTTTGCTTAGATTGCACACATTTACCCTTTGCTTTTTAATCGTAGATATATCTGAAGGAAGTCACTATGTATGTGTTGTTTTACATGGTGTTCTATTTAAAAAAAACAGCTCTGCATTGGGTTAAGGAAGAGTGTTCTGATATTTTGCACTGAAATAAGTACAGAAACAAACTTTGCTGGTATGTTTGACTTAACGTGGACTTCTCTTTTCTCCCTAACCACTATAGTTGCCATGTACCGAGAACCCTCTTTACATGATGTTGGAGAAACAGTGCCAAAGGCTGGGGTGACGCCAAGTAAAAGCACAAGTGCATCGGCAATAATGAATGGAGGTAAACCAGTGAACAAGAGTAAGACCACATAGCCAGAGCCTTGTGGATGTTGTGACTTACTGGACTCTCTTATGTACAGCTGAGCACTTTATCCTTCCAAGACTATCCCACTCTGGTGTCTGCGGATTGGCTGGAAGCAAGCAAGGTCTTGCTCTGTGCTCCTTCCAGATCTGTAACTCCTCCCACAGCAAAGACTTTTGGATGACCAGCTGAACTCCGACCATAGAATGCCCTACCAGATATGGAATGCCTTTTAATCTCTTTTCTGTGACTGTGACACCTCATGTGAATGGCATACTTCACAAGTACACTTGATATCTTTGCCTGCTGACAGTTACCCATAATTCCCCCTTTGGATCCCAGGAAACCCCCCGTGTTTTAAGTTCAATTTTGTAGCCCACAGAATAATAACAAGTAATTTCTAGATAGATGCTGTAAAACCTGTGCTATTATGGATTTTTTCTTCCTCCCCTTTTTTATGAGGCTGCTTGCTCCGCTGTCTGTGTGACTCCTTTGCAGGGATTATGTTTTGCTCAGATTGAAGTGTTGCTGATGGCTTGGTTTTGGAAAGCAATCGGAGAATTAGGGGAGCCTTCAAAACCCTGTTAGGGATCATACCTGTAAAAGATAGGATCAATGCAAATAAGGATTCCGCCTGAATACAATACAGTATGCTCCCGAGGAGGGAAAAGCATCACGCGTGGCTAGTCAACAACCTTTCAAGGCCAATGTTTGATACCCCCTGTGTGTGCGTGTGTGTGTTTTATACATATCACAGACTTACTGGTAATGGTAACATTTGCCTTGCCCAGCGAGCAAGACCCACATATTTTTAAGAAAGTGGGTCCAAAGAACTCTGTAGGCCTTGTAGGCCTGAATTAAGGCTCATTTTTCATCTACTAGTACTCATTATCTGAAATTTAAAAGAAAAAAAATTAGAATGAATGGGAATTGTGCTACCTATGTCTCTTTCAAAACAATAGATTCCTTCTCCTGTTTTTAAACAACGGAACGTAATCCCATCTTTATTTATGGCTGTAGTTCACTCTTACTCAGCAAAGCATGGGCAAGGAAGTTGTGTTTTTCTCTGCAGCGCCAATGCAAAAGGTAGTTACAGATTATACTTTTAATATTTTCAGTGTTAAAAAGAGAGGAAAGATTTTAAACATATTTGAAGGATTCCTTTGCATTTCTTTGATAGCTTAGCATGCAAAGTCCAGGTAATATATTATTTTATCTATACCAGCTTCTTAGGATATTATGGCCACTAAATTGCTAGGTTTTCGGTGCCTTGCATTTATCTTTTATTAGTTTGGTTTTCCCTGTATTCTACAAATTTAAGAAAATTCTAACAAAAAAACAAGGTCAAGAATGTTTCTCCTTTGATTACTAAATGAAATAAATACTAGTATTTTGGGGATAGGGAGCCCTGGGGCCAAAAGGAAAGAATAGTAACAGGCTATTCTTAAAAAAATACTCTCAGACAAATGGATAAATTTTTGAAAGTAGATACTGGGGAACTAAATTGAAAACAGAAAGCATGATGTGGACCAAAATGTATTTTTGTTCTAGAAAATCATTTCTGAAACGTCTAAGCATTTGCACATATGTTTGTTTTCAGTTCCAATTTTGGGACTTTTTTTTCCACAGTGGATTTAAATATTGGTTTACTTTTCATAGTTATTATGAAATGTTCAGATTTCCTATTTGGTTTGGTGGTAACAGATTAAACTTTGAATTAACTCTTGAATCTTGATTCATATCAGCTTCTATTTGAACGAACAGGTCCTTAAGATATGTGTGAATAGATTACAAGTTGCTACTAGGTTATACATATACAACAGTATTTGATCTTTTGATTTCTGGGTTTCTCCATACATGGTAAGAGGCTGTTTTAAGTTTATTTCTTTCAGCCACATGAGTGAAGGACATTAAACATTATTCTGTTTCCAGAATGTAGTAGCATTTTTAAAACAACAAAAAAGATTAAGGTATTTTACAACAAAGGAAAGAATTGGTGCACAAAAATGAACCATAAACATCCTTTTCCTCCTTGGCCTCTAGAGAAGGAATGCTTGGGAAGAAGGCTTTTTTGATTTTATCCCCACATAGGGTAGAAAGGAGTAATGCTGGTTCCCCACAAATGGATCAACAGTGGCCTGGGTGACTCCAGAAGCCATGCCACTTGCAGATGCTCTGCATAGTAGATACAGAATTGGGATCTGCCTAGGTCTGCTAGCCCGTCACATTTTATTCTGAATTGTGAAGTGTTGTTGTTTTTTTCTAGACCCCCCAGTTATTACAGACTGCTTACTTTGATTTTCAGTATACTTTCTGTATTGCGCAACTGAAAGCTTTAAAATAAGAATGCAAAATAAAAAGTGTGAAATGTATTATTTCCCTTTCATTTTAATGATGATGTATGACGTGGGACAGGTTGGGGCTTGTGGATCACCTCAGGACTTGGAACCAAGCATAAGGCATCAAGCATAAGGTGAGGTAACATCAATTTATCAACTCGTTTTATAATACCAGCAAGATTTTTTTTCTATACCTGCTGTAGGTTGCTCCAGACTTATACTCATTGCATAACTCTTCTGCTGGGGCACATTTTTCCTCTTTCCATGTACAAAGAAGCTTTGGTGCCAGAGTCAAGGTCAACCAAAGGGAACTATTCTCTTTTGCCAGTTGCAATACATTCCCTTAATTTTTACATTTGTGCCCATACTGCCATGTCAACCATACTGCCATGTAGTTAATAATAAGACCAAGTTCATATTTGTAAATGATTGACACTGTACTATAAGTAGAACACACGTATTCCTCTCTTTGTTGTAATGGATGTAGATTGCCTTCACACCTTCCATGACTGGGAGGATCTTAAATAAGCTTATTTGAGAATCTAAATCTATTTCAGCACAGAGGAGAAAATGTGTGGTTCCTTGTGCTTTAGTTACTTTTTTTAAGTTTGTCTCATCTGTTTGCATGGGGAAAAGGATGGTAATAATGACTTGCATGTAGTAGGCTATATGTATCAGATCTGTTGGTATGTACTGCAAAACTGACATACATATAAGCAACCAGTTTGTCTGCATTGTACAGTTTGTGTTTATTACCATTTTGTTGTATACACAGATACAGCATATTGAATAAAATATTTATATGAAACACATATTTAAAAATACCCTTTACATATTTTTTTTAAATGTGCAAAGTAGCACTGCATCAGCAGCATAATGAGACATGAAAATAATTTGTCAAAACTCAATTCTCTTTCCCCCAGATCATGCCAAAGAAAATTTGAGGTCCTTGGTATAGAATCTCTCTTGCACATTTGGTTCCCTTTCAAATTAATTTTGCTATCAAATGAAACTTTCTTTTTGGCTGCCTGTTATTTCCTAAAGAACTGTACAGTAAATCTGATGGAATCAATTTGTAACTATAGATTGTGTGTTTTATACTTCCATGTACACTCTGTCTTTATGACTGAGCCTTCTCCATTACGTTTTCTCATTTAGGTCTTAATCTGCAAGTCAGTTGCTGGAATGCTTGAAATAGAGGCAATATTATCAATAAAGATGGTGATGACAGACCAGTCAAGTCATGCACTTCTAATTTAATTGGGCTGGCTTTTCTGTTCATATCTACAGAGAGAACACTTTCTATTGGTGCTTTAAGAAATCATTCTAAAATAAAGGGCAAGTACAGAGGCCAGAATTGTTGCAGTGGTCCCTGAATCCCCCCTCCATAATGAATGGGATCATAAAGTTGGATCCTCTTTGTATGTGGGAAGGTTTTATAATTTGTATATTTATATTTATAAATGATAAAACCTTCCCACAAACAAAGACAATCCAACTTTATGATTCCACTCATTACAGAGGGTGAATTATATATATATACATACTGCTCCTGCAATCTTCTGAAATTTTCTCCCAAAACAACCCTAGGCTCTATTTAATTTGGCCTTTAATTTGGAACATCTCAACCTAAAAACAAATCCCATTGAGCAAACTTAGATTTACTCATTGGCATCTGCTTTTTAGTCTTACGAGGCAAAATGAAAAAAAAATATGGATAAATTATTATTAAATAAAATGCATTAACTACATTTTTAAAAAATGCCCTCTGTTTATTAGATACATACATAGATAAGTAGACCTTTCCCATCTTTATCCATTTCCTAGTTAGCTTTATTAGTCCAGCAACATTCATTAACTCCATATCAAAATATGGAATTTATCCCTATATATTTATGATACCTGAGCCACTTGAATTACTTTGTGTAGTAAAATAACTAGGAATAAAGGTAAAACTGGAACTTTGGGCAAAACCTACCCAATGATTGTGCCACAATTAGCTGATTTGACTTACAGTATATATTATCTAATTTACTGCCAGGAAGTTTGGAATTCGGTCTAGGTCAGTGTTCTCAGCCTTGGCAACTTTAAGATGTGTGGATTTCAACTCCCATCTTCAAGTTGGTAAATTATGTAGACAATATAGCCCAAGGCCACAAATACCCAAACATTATGTTTAAAAGTGCTTTTTTAAACACATTTGCAGTATTCATAAAAAGCAGTCATGAAGGTGACTGCCCAAGAAGTAGCCAGAGCATCTTCTTCTGTTCAAAGCTGCATCTTCTTCTGTTCAAAGCTGCTTCTACTATGACTCATAAAGCTAGTTTGATTACTATATGGGAGTAGATGTGTAATAACTTTTTCATTAGACCTAAATTAACCTCCCAAAGAAATTTTCAAAGTTGTAGAATGTCAAAGGCTAGTATGTCTGTTTTCACAATTAGCTAGCATCCTGATGTGGTGGCTTTCTGTGTGCTAAGGGTTGAATTAAGAAGAAACATTCGAACATACAGGATTTCATCTGCACTTTTAAAAAATAATACACCTTCTACTGCTAGCTGTTCTTGAATGTGTAATTGACTTTAAGATAATATCTTTATTTTGAAATTGTTAATATGTATCCCTTAGAAATGAATAATTGTACATTAGAGTTCTGTTTAATAGCAAATTCT